ATACATCTACACGACGGTATAACCTTCTTGCCTACTCTTTATATTACCAAGAAACTAGTTGTCAAGCTCTTTTAGTTTAACTAGTTATGAGAGCTTGTTAGTTTGGTTAGTGTGGCTCTTTAGTTAGTATTTGAGAGCACACTAACTTAGTGTAGTGATATAGCTATTGTGTGGATATACTCCATCTAAACTAGAATTGTGGTAGGTAGCTTGCATTTTGGTAGGCTAGCGCAAAACTCGCTTCGCCTCATAATTGTCTAATCCTTTTGTAAAGTGTTGTTGTAGAAATTTTATTAGGCTATTCACCTCCCTCTAGCCATTAGGACCTTTCAGGTGGGATCACCCTCCATTTAAAATTCCTCACAATCATAAACTTCATAATCATCTGGAATGGCTGATCTCCTGACTCTTTGAGACCTTCTAGGGGCCTCGTTAGATGACGCTTGTTCAATATGAGGCCTTTGTTGCTCTTCCGCATGTATGACAACGGGTTCTTGGGGATCTTGAAGGACAGGTTCCTCATGTTCATTCATTGTTGCCACATGAGAACTAACAATAGGTACTCAAGCATTATATAATGTCTTGCAATCACAGTACAACAACAACAGGTAGCGTGAAAAATAGTTCCTGAACCGTAGGAGTGGGCATGTATACCCGCTTTTCTTTAAAACTAATTTTATGCGCTACCATGCTCCTTCTGATCATATCATCCTCCAAGAAGACAGCATGTCTTGTTTCTACAAACTTTGTTTGTCTGTCAGGACAATAGAAGCGATAACCTTTTGACTTTTCTGGATAGCCAATGAAATGACAGCTGACTGTCTTGGAGTCCAGCTTCCCTATGTTTGGGTTAAATACTTTTACCTCAGCTGGACAACTCCACATATGTAAATAGTTTAGTGAGGGTTTCTTTCCTGTCCACAACTCATACGGTGTCATGGGCACCGACTTACTAGGCACTCGATTAAGAATATGAATGGCGATTTTTAACGCCTCCATCCATAAACTTATCGGTAAGGTAGAGTAACTTATCATGCTTCTCACCATATTCACTAAGATACGGTTGCGTCTTTCAGCTACTCCATTCTGCTGAGGCTCACCCGGTGTAGAATACTAGGCTACTATGCTATTTTCCTGTAAGAACCTTGCAAAGGGTCCAAAAACTTGGCCATATGGGGTGTGTCGACCGTAGTACTCTCCCCCATGATCAGACCTTACTACCTTAATCTTTAATTCACAGATTTTCTGCTTCAGCCTTAAATATCTTAAATTTATCCAATGCTTCCGACCTTTCCTTAATTGGATAAACATAGCCAAAACGTGAGTAGTCATCTGTGAATGTTATAAATGAATTATAACCATCCACACTCTTCGCAGGAAAAGGACCACAGATGTCTGTGTGAACTATTTCTAAAATTCCTACGCTTCGTTTGGCATCTTTCTTTATTTTCTTAACATACTTTTTTATGCAATCTATGCATTGTTCTAAATCTGAAAATTCTAAAGGCGAAAGAATTGATTTCTTAATCAATCGCTCTGTTCTCCTCCTCGAAATATGGCTTAAACGACAGTGCCATAATTTCAAAGATACATCATACACTGTCTTCCGCTTATTTGTTGCATTCATAGAGGTGGGAACATTCTCATTCTCAGTACTTATATCATTCACATTCTCAGAAAGTGATAATAAATAAAGCTTGTCTTGTCGGAAGGCAAGACCAATACATTTATTATTATAAACAATTTGACATTTGCCATTACCAAAATGGCAATCATATCCATCATCATCTAAACGTGAAACACTTATTAAGTTTCTTCGCAAAGAGGGTACAAATAGAACATCTGAAAGCTTAAGTAGAAAACCATCAACTAATTCTAGAGAAAGATCTCTAATGGCTTCAATTTGAGCTTCAACTCCATTTGCTTAATTCTTCTTTCTCCTCTTTGTAGGGTCCTCTTCGTACGGAATCCCTGTAATGAATTTGCAACATGAATAGTTGCACTTGAATCAATCCACCAAGTAGATTTTGCATAACTTAAATACAGGGATTCATCTATGAATGTAATAAAATCCTCACCTCTCTTCAGAAGGTTATTCAGGAAGTCTGGACAATCCCTCTGGTAGTGTCCATGCTTCTTGCACCATTTGCACTGATCTTTGGATGGTGCTTAGTCTGAGGGGCTGTCCCTTGCGGTTTGGTATTCTTATTGAAGTTCTTTTTCTTATCCTTCACAAGGTTAGCAGAGTCACCCTGTAAGGACTTTAGTCTTTCCACTTCTTGAACACACATTGTGATGAGCTTCTCTATGTCCCACTTGTCGGGCTACATGTTGTAGTTAACAACAAATGTTTCATATTTCTTTGGCAAGGAAGCAAAAACCAAATGAATCAGGAACTCATCCTTGAGCCCCAAATTCATTGGCTTCAGCTTCGAAGCCATGTTGCTCATCTTCAAAATGTGCTCTCTGATACCGCCACCAGTATATTTTTCATTAAACAATTTCTTGATCAATGTACTAACATAAGCCTTTGAAGAGCCAGTGAACTGACTCTCCACCTTCTTTAGGTACTCCGTGGCGGTATCACAGTCTGGGATAGACCCCCTTATAGTATCTGAAATAGTGGACTTGGCCACCATCAAGCACTTGTGGTTCGAGATGTCCCACTTCTTCCGATCAAGATCATTTTTCATTCTAACTTCCGTATGATCTCGCTGCTGAGCAGTGAAATCAGCATCAGTCTCGTTTTCTGCCCTCACCGGGTCCACTAGCTCAGTAGGACACGGGGAGGTAAGCGCTAAGTCATTCTCGGACATCGCAAGTGTAAGCTCATACTTCTCTCGTCATACTCTGTAATTGCCCCTTCTAGAGGTGGTATGTGCGAGATGAATGCCATTGGGTTGAGTCCTGAAAAACATCGTCAGAGATAGTGAGAAAATATGACATTATAATTGCATGCTTTAATTTAACGTTGGTCAAAATTAAAACATACAACATTCTTATACACTAATTCTACATCACCGTTGGGCAGAAATAGAATTAATGAATGAAAAACTTATAATTAAACATTATAATATTTCTATTATCAACGTTGGTCCGAAAAATAGCAATATTATAATTTACTGATTAAAAATGACTACTCTTAAAATTAAATTCTCCCGTTGGTTCAAATTTAATTAGAAGATTATAAACTTTAACATTGCAGCGGAAACATGAATAAATAATAATTATCTACTTTTCAGAAGCATTTTCTTGTTCATATCTACTTTCTGGAAAAAAAGTAACACGTTGGTGTAATTTTACCAGAAATTTTAAACCTTCGAAATTCATCAAAATTCATTCAAATCTGCTTCTGAAAATTAAATAAACTTCAAAGGCTATTTACAGTTCTTTTTGGCCTGGCCTATAGCAGCAGTAAGTGGCCCAGCAGCGACAGTACTCGGCCCAGCCTGCAGCAGCAGTACGCGCGCGCACTCGCGGGACCTCCCCCGCACCCAGGCCGCAACTAGGGCCTAGGCCGGCAAAGTCGCCCGCCGCGCTTGCCCGCCTGGGCCGATTTCGGTCCGATGACGTTCCAGTCGTTGGATGAGATCCGACGGCCGTCCGCGCGCATCGCCAGATCAAAACGACGACCTCAGCGGCTTCGCTGAAACCCTAGCGCCATTCTCTTCTGCCCTTTCTGTCTCTTCGCCTCACTCCTTTCTCTCCTCAGCGTAGCAGCAGCGAGCGACCGAGCGAAGACGAGAGTGAAGATGGCGCCGTCGCCAGTCCCCTCATCGGTGTTCGTGCTCCCCAGCGGGTGAGCACGCCGCCATCGAGCGGTCTGGGCGGCGGTGCCCTAATCCCCACGCGCACTGCGGTGAGGAGCTTCCGAAACCCTAGACCTAACTCGGCCGCTTCTCCTCCTTCTCTCTCTCAGCGCAACGAGCAGCGGCGGTGACCGAGCGAAAGGAGAGACCATGGCGCCGTTGTTGGCCCCCTTGCCAGTGCGCGCGCTCCCCATGCACATGAGCGCGCCACCGTCGAGCGGACTAGCGGCGGCGCCCTTGGCCGGAGCTCGCACAAGACCGACGAGTAGCTGCCCCGCTCGGCCTTCTTCTCGCGTGCCGGCGAGGCGACAGTGCGGTGCACGGCGAGGTAGGCCTCTTCCCCCTTTCCCCTTCTTCTCCGCCTGGATCTTGCATCGTTCTTCTCGGATTTGTTCGATTTGGAGATTAGGGTTTGGTTAGGGTTAGGGTTTCGCTCACTGTTCTTCTTCCCCGAGGCTGATTCGTGGGTTAGGGTTCGGCTTTGAGTTGCTTTTCAAAACCCGAGGCCCTTCTTCACTTCTTTTGTTCCCTGATTTTGGGTTTAGGGTTCGATAAACCCTCTGTTTAGATCCAAAAATGAATCTATCACCTTCTTCGAGTTGCTACTTGGTTTTCTCATCCGATAGGCTAGATCTGCACCTAGTTAGGCGTCTGATACCATTGATAGAGTTAAAGTAGGATCTCTAGGCATAAATCTAGCATGTCTACTTACACTTGGAATAAACCGTGAGTCATAGAAGCATCTACTAGTACTGGATTAATAGATAGTGAGAGAAAGAGAGGGGTGAAGGGGGTACAAACCATCGGCCGCCTTCGAGGAAGACGGGCTCGCCATCGAAGTGCTCGGTGAAGACCCGGTGGCGGTGCTGAGTCGAAGGGCGGCGGTGCAGTGGCGGCGTTGGCCGGTGGCGGTGCTTCCCATCACTGGCAGCGCCCCCTCTGTGATCGGTTAGGGTTTAGGACTGTAGGTGGGGTGCTAGGCGGCTCAGGCCAACCTCGTGCTAGGCGCTCCGGCCCCCACCTCCTATTTATGACGCTGTGCGACGGGGACCTACCAACCATATTAGGGTTAGGCGCCCTCGATGAAGGCGCGGATCCAAGGGTTGGGCCAATTGGTGGAGATCAACTAACACGCTTAGCCTGATTGATTTCGTGCCTGGGATGTAGTTTTGGACCAAGCAAGGATCAGTGTCATCTGCACAGGAAACACAAGATCGTTGTGCAGAAATAATGATGACAGACCAAAGAAGAGCAGTGTTAGAACGGGGGAGAAGAAGGTCTGAATTCTGAGGGGCAAGAACTCGTACGTACCGGCGGTCTTGTTCACCGGCGAAGTGCTGCCGCCGTCATCCGCCGCAGGTGGCAGGCGGTGGAAGTTGTACTGCACCGCAAACATGGTGGCGCTCAGTGGACAGAGCACGCATACCGGCACGCCTCTCCATGCGTCGACGGCGACGGTCCATGGCACGAACACGTCGGCCACGATGGCTGCGGGCGCCAGTGGCGCGGCGAGGAGCTCGTCGAGGAGGCGCTCGAACGGCGCCTCCATCCGGGTGTACATGGCCTCCACGAAGCCGACCATGTCACCGGCGTGCCCGTGCTCAGAGGGGACCACATTGGGGATGGCCTCGAAGCGGACGCGTGGGCCCAGGGTCGCCGTCGGGGTATCGACCAGACCGAGCCACTCCTCGGTGACGACGATGGTGGCGGTGACGCCGTCGCGCGCTGCCAGGAGGCGGCACAGGTTCACCATCGCGTTGACGTGGCCGCGGCCCGGGTACGGCCAGCCACGACGTGGCACAGAGGCGTGGGCATGGAGCTCATCGCTACTGGTCAGTGGTTACTGGTCAGCATCAGCTGCTAGGGATTAAGAGTTGTAGAGGAAGTAGGGGAAGAATGGCAAGGAGCATAAGTGCCGATGGACTGGAGAAGTGCAACTTGGTTATCGTCCGTTTTGGATGCGGTGGAAATTGGAGTGCTAGCTGAGTGATTGGACATTGGTATTTGTCACAACATATCGTGACAAACAAGCTCCACCGCATCCGCGTGGCATCTTCCTCTCTTGCCCAGTTGCCCTCCAGCTTCATTGCAAGTCCTTTGCCGGAGAAAGTGAAGAGAGAAGGATCGGGAAGTGAAGAGAGCAGGCGGAGATCCATAGGAGAAGGAATAGTGCCGGCCAATGGGTTACGTTACGTTTGAAAATCTCCTCCCTTTTCGGCCTGTTAATAATCCAATGGGCTTTTGACGTCCAAGCTGCGGCCATCATATGGCCCACGGTTTGCAAAGTGAGCACCAAGCCGGCGCCGCCGCACGAGCACGGCTACCAATACCGAGTCGTTGAAGCATCTCGAACTGTCGTGAATTTGTGATCTCAAATCCGTGCTCTCGAGAAAATTCCTCTCCTTTCACCCCGTCGTCCCGAGAGCCGATCCGCCCGAATCCCCAAACACGGATCACCCCTTACAAAACCCCCCTACCGCCTAGCACATCGAACCGAACCGGCTAAAATCCACCTGAGATCGATCTCGAGTGACGGATTGACGACAGGAAGCACAGGATCCGGCAGCAAGATGTTCTTCTTCTTCGTAGGCGGCGTGGAGCAGGGGGTCGGGCGGGTGCTGAAGGAGGCGGCGGGGCGGTGCCTCCGGTGCGGCGGCGCAGCGGACCTGGTGGAGACGGAGAAGGTCCTCAAGCTCTTCTTCGTCCCCGTCTGGCGGTGGCCCGGGAGGGACCCCGCGTACCTATGCCGCGACTGCGGCCTCCTCTCGCCGGGCTCCCTCGGCGCGGAGCCGGGTCCCTCGCTGCTGCTGCCCCGGGAGGCGAGGTGCGGCGCTTGCAGCCGCGCCGTCGATACGCAGTTCCGGTTCTGCCCCTTCTGCGGCTCCTCCCTCTGAAGAGGTTACCGGTGGCGGTGGCGACTACAGAGCAGAGGTGACGCCTGACGCCTTTTGCCAATTGGGTTTTACTAGTTTCAGTAGTTTGTACACTGAGGTTATGGCGTTTTGTTTGTGTGAAAACTATAGTATGTATATCATCACGAAATAAAGGAAAACATCAACGCCATTACATATTTTTGTCACATTGCCGAGTGGTTTAGCTGCGTAGCATTGCCGAGTGATTGGTGGCTTCGAGCGTTGCACATTGGTGTTTCAGTGTTTTGAGTTTTGAGAAACTCAAGTTGCAACTCAGCCGCATCCATGGGAAGACAGGGCTGAGGGCCTGAGGCGTACCGTAAGAATCACCAGCATAGCTGCTGGCGCACTTGCTCCTGGTAATTGAAAACATATAGAAACTCTAGAGCCCCAAATACAATTTACGAATTTCTCCTAACTTTATAAACAGGATCTGATTGCCACGCACTTCCTCTGGTAGAAAACACATCCATACATTCACACACACATTATAAACTTGGCACATAATCAGGCGCTGACATCAAACTTGGAATCAACAGTCTATTCGGTTGGCTGGATCGTATCGTTGCTGGTTCGTTTATGTGAGAGAGAAGTACCGCTGACTGGTTTAAGTGAACAGTAGTCATGTGAGGGGGTTGGCCAGCCCAGCGATCATGCTACAACTTTGCAGGCACATCTGATTTAGCACGATCGGGGAGGGTTTTTTTTTCTTTATATTAGGAAAATGCTTTCCCCGTTATGTTCTACTTGCGCAGTGCACATAATTGAATGGGAACTTCATAAACAAGTTGGTTTGCCTTGCTGCCGCAAGTGACAATGCAAACCTTTGATAGGAAATCGGATAGCATCATCATTGGTACCGACTGTAACTGGCTGAAAAACACGGTTCTGGCTGAATTGTTGTGAGAGAAAAACATTGTTCCGGCTGAAAAAAGAAGCCGAACATGTCGAATATAGGGTAAGCCGAACGGGGGGCATGGAAGCATGAAACACAGTATATATAGTGGCAGTCGTTGGCAGCAATAGTTTAGGCTCTGTTCGCTTGAGCTTATAAGCCAGAATCAGCCCTACTTTTTCAGCCATGGAACAATGTTTTTCTCTCACAACAAATCAGCCCTACAAATCAGCCGCAGCAGCAATAAGTCCTACCGAACAGAGCCTGAGCAACACTGCCAGTCTTTTTCTAAAAAAAAACTGCCAGTCTTGGCCATGATCTGATATGGACCAAAGTAGCGGAATGACATCTTGTAATTAGTTCCTGGTGCCACTGAATTTGCCCATAGGGCTGGAGTCTTAAATAGATAAACTGAATCACCAATTCCAAAGGATCTTTTAGACCTATGCTTATGAGCTTGGAGCTTCTTTCTCTGCTGAACTTTGACCAGTTGTTGTTGAAGTAACTGAGTCATTAACTCCCTTTCATTAAGTTAGATCTGAAGATCAGGGATGACACATGATTCAACAACATCAATACCCAAATGCCTGGGCTTGTGTGGCCATATAAAACTTAGGGTAAAGTACACTTTCCAACCTCCAACTTGCACTGAAGTTTGATTTTCAACCTTCAACTATAAAACCGGGTAACAAACACCCTCCAACTATCAAAACCGGACAAATTTAGTCATCGGCTGGTTTCAAAAGCGGTTTTCTATTTTCGAGAGATGCCGAAATTTTATATTATTTTTTGAGCCTCTTAACGTCCTCAAATGAAAAAATTCAAAACTACAAAGTTGTAGATCTCATTGAGAGCTACAACTTTGGTATAAAAAATATCTTCATTTGACTCCATACAAAAAATATATTATTTTTCTAATACGGCAAGCGCTATTATGATGCTGAAATTTTATATTATTTTTTGAGCAACTTAACGTCCCCAAATTAAAAAACTTAAAACTAGAAAGTTGTAGATATCATCGAGATCTATAATTTTTATATAAAAATCATCTTCATCCGACGTTGTATTAGTTCATTTTTATATAAAACAAGCTTTTTCATTTTCGAAAGTTGTTTTGTCACGTGAGAAGATGATTTTTATATAAAAATGAACTAATACAACGTCGGATGAAGATGATTTTTATATAAAAATTATAGATCTCGATGATATCTACAACTTTCTAGTTTTAAGTTTTTTAATTTGAGGACTTTAAGTTGCTCAAAAAATAATATAAAATTTCAGCATCATAATAGCACTTGACGCATTAGAAAAATAATATATTTTTTGTATCGAGTCAAGTGAAGATACTTTTTATACCAAAGTTGTAGCTCTCAATGAGATCTACAACTTTGTAGTTTTGAGTTTTTTCATTTGAGGACGTTAAGAGGCTAAAAAAATAATATAAAATTTCGGCGCCTTCCGAAAATAGAAACCACTTTTGAAACCAGCCGAGGACCAAATTTGTCCGATTTTGATAGTTGGAGGATGTTTGTTACCCGGTTTCATAGTTGAAGGTTGAAAATCGAACTTCAGTGCAAGTTGGAGGTTGGAAAGTGTACTTTACCCTAAAACTTAAAAAGGTGGTGTCCAAAGAAGTATGATAGCTTGTGTTGTAGTACTAGAATTCAGCTAGTGAGAGACATTGCTTCTAGCCCCGTTAACCTTCTCACAAAATCAAATCAGTCCAACCTCGGCTCTTATACAACTTGTTAGAATTTGATACCCCTAGTTATGCACAACACCCTCGGATTTTTGAAAGGATATCGCGAGTATGACGCTATCACTGACCGAGCTTCTCTACACTGACCTTTCTTCTGGTCAAGTTCGCAGCTCTTCGAAGAAATCCGATTCTTTTCCTAGGAGAAGAGATTGATTCTAATTATCTTTCTTTCAAAGCCATCCATGCATAGAGAAGACTGGGCCCAAAGCATTATAGGTGAGCCCTCTGGAATATCAGAAGAGATAGAGATTATCACGAGTATGACACAAGCTTGCATTGAGTTAAAAACAATGTAGTCGAATTGTGTAGAAAACTCTAGATGACAACGTTAAAGCAATCACGACAAGACATTACGATTTTAGTGAAGTCGGCCGCAAATTCTATAAGCACAACTCCAAAAGAGTACAAGTGTTTGTCGCTCGCTTACAACCCTACTTAACCCTCTAGAATGACTGATTCTTGCCTTATACAAGAATCTAGTGTAATAGAAGGTCTAGCCTCATCCTCTTGAGCGCTCTTAATTGCTTTTTACAAGTCTTGGATGAGACCATTGTGTCGTCTTGGTTGATATGCCTATGCCCTCTGACCCTTGTTTATATAGTCCCCTCCGAGCCCCTCATATATACATGCAAATAGGATTCCACACTCAATACCTTGTAGAATTAGAAGTCCTAATAGCACACCACTCTTGAGTCCTATTACAAGTTGGATTTGAGTTTCCATACAACATCGTGACCTCTAAACCTCGACTCATGTTCCTCCTTGGCTAGGGGTGGACATTCAGTTACGAAATCGATTGGTTCCGTCCTTCGGTTTTCTAGCAAATTTCATTTCGGTTAATTGACTGGTTTGTTTCAAAAATAAGAAACAATGAAATTCAGTTCTGGTTATGACCGAATTAACCGAGTCTATCTTAACACACGTGAAAGGATCAAGATGCCCAAGAGGGGGGGGTGAATTGGGCTAATTATAAATTTCTTTGCAATAATTAAATCATATGGTTAGCCCAATTAACCCCTTGTGCCTAGAAAGTGTTTCTAATTGTTCTACTGCACAAAAGGCTTGCAACCTAAGTTCCAATTCTACTCTAGCATGGCAATTCTACGAATGTAAAGACAAGAATTGAATTGCTCAAAGTAAATGCTCAAAGTAGATACTCAAAGTAAATACTCAAAGTAAATGCTCAAAGTAAATAGAGAAGGAGGAACGCGGCGATGTTTTGCCGAGGTATCAGAGAGTCGCCACTCCCCACTAGTCCTCGTTGGAGCACCCACGCAAGGGTGTAGCTCCCCCTTGATCCGCGCAAGGATCAAGTGCTCTCTACGGATTGATTCTTCGACACTCCGTCGCGGTGAATCACCCACAACCGCTCACAACTTGAGTTGGGTCATCCACAAGCTCTCCGGATGATCACCAAGCTCCCAATCACCACCAAGCCATCTAGGTGATGGCGATCACCAAGAGTAACAAGCACGAACTCTCACTTAACCACGACAAACCTAATGAAAAGGGTGGATGCACACTTTGCTACTCTTGATCTCACTAATGAGGGCTCATTTTGGGATTCTCAAATCTCAAACACCTCACTAGGACCTTGCTCTTCTTGGCACTCTCTAAGGTGTTTCTCAGCTGTTGAAATGAGCAAAAGTACCCCCACACACGAGTGGAGGTTGTATTTATAACACCGGCTGGAAAATGAACCGTTATGTGCCTCTACGGGGTGACCGGACGCTCCGGTCATGTTGACCAGACGCTCCGGTCAGTACACCCTGAACTCCAGTGCTTACAGTGTGACCGGACGCTGGGCAGCGTCCGATCAGCACTTACCGAACGCGTCCGGTCGCAATTTTCCCTCTCTGGAACCTTACTAGAGTCGACCGGACGCTCGCTCTCAGCGTCCGGTCACTTGACCTCTCAGCGTCCGGTCAAACCAGACGCAATCCCCTTGGTCAAATGAACTGACCGGACCCTGAGCCAGCGTCCGATCAGTATTTGACCCTCCATTCACTTCCAACTCTTGATCATATGTGAATGAAGTTTGCTCCATTGGATCTAAGGGCTATTTTGGAGCTACCTAGTGCTAGTTTTAACAAGTGTGCACCACACCTAACTCATTAGACTCACCTAGGTCAAGCTACCCGTCCATACCCCCCTTAATAGTACGGCCAAAGAAAAAAACAAAGTCCTAAACTACTCTAAGTGTCTCTCCAACTCCAATCGACACTTAGAACTAGTCATCCTTAACCTTGTCGTCCATCCTTTGAAAACCGAAACGATTTCCATCGTAGGGGCATGACCACCTTGATTGCCCAATTGATCTCCATTACC